GGGGAGGGGCGGGGCAGGCGAAGCGGGGAGGGGCGGGGCAGGCAAAGCGGGGAGGAGCGGGGAGGGGCGGGAAAGGGGCGAGGCCCGGTTCAGGGCCAGAGCCCTCAGGGAGGGGCGCTAGGGCTCCCGTGAGCTTTAAAAGCTTTTCCTGTAATTATAATCTTAATTACCTACACTTAATTAAGTAAATCTTATACCGTGCATAATGTTGCTATGCAGCGTGAAAATGTAGGCAATACATTATGCGTTTGTACAAATTATATGTTAATGAGTAATTATATAAAATATTGGTATATTCTTTTAAAAACTCCTGAAGAACCATCCCAATATGCCAGAGACTTTCCTCTGGGACAAAGACCAAGGAAACTTTCACTTTCTGCTTTTCAGGATGATTCCAAAGTCTTTGGCTTTACAAGCACTCACTTGAATAATAACTTTATCTAAATCAGTTTACAGTGATGGGATAAGAGATTATTATTTTCTTTGTACAAATCAAGATTAATATTTTTGTGTCACATTCTGTTAGATAAGTTCAGCAGAAATGAAATGATTTCGTTAAAACTTTTTTTCTGTGATAAATGTATATATTTAGATGCAAAGAAGAAAGTATAAAGGACAAAAATCAAAGAATAATTTAGAACACCCATAATCCTGTTACCTCAAGATAAAGAGTAATAAAAGTTTCAACTATTTTCTTATAGAGTCAAAAATACAAATATACATGTGAATCTGGATAGACGGAAATGATTATGTTCAAAAATGCATTTATATATACATACACACACATCTCCTTTTATGGAGTGGGACAAGAATGAGATTTGGAATCAAAAGTAACTGATTTTAAATCCTTCACAGTTATGAGCTATGAGACCCTTAGACACTTCTACGTCTTCATTTATGAAATAGGCATAACACTATTCACCTTGTAAGACTGATAATTAAGTAAAATCCAGAGTGGCTCTCAGAATACAGTTTCTGATCAACATCACTTGGGAATTTTTTGCTAACACAAATTTTCAGGCCCCATTCTCAACCTTCTGCAAAGCCTGGGGTGGTTCTCTGCTGGTAAAGTTTGAGAGCCACTGAAATGAAGTACATAAACCCTAATAGGGACTCATAAATGGAGCTGCCATTACTACATTGTGAAATTTAATCTCCTTTTGTCCTAGTTTTCATTGAACCTTATGGAAAACTTGTCCTTTATGGCCCCCCCCAGTTAGGTTCAGTTCAATAGCATTCACTGAGCTGAAAGTTAGTACCAGGCAGTGGGTATGGGAATAAAGTTCACAGTCGGTATCAAGAGATTCCAGCCTCCTTCTGCATCACATATCTCAGCATCAACTATGAAACCACTTTTTCTTGACCGGACAACTCCACAGATGGTTTCACTGAGGATTTATCCTCAGTGCTTATCAAAAGGGGCTCCTGTAGCCTGAACCCCCAACAATACTGGATACCCTTTGATTAGTGGTAGTGAGCATTGTAGCCCTCTCACATGGTGAAACCAACAGGCGCCTTAGAGACCACCTGGTCCAATCTCACACGTTTCACATGGGAGGAAACTGAGGCCTAGGGATAGAATACAGCTAGCTTGTGAAGAAGTCTGCAAAGGCATCTGGCCATCTATCTGCTTGCTTTGAGAAAAACACCCTGACTCACTGTGGTGGTATTTTGATAAATGACACCAGGCACTCTCACTGACTCAGATTGATTGTCAGATCAGAAATAGCCATCTGCCCTTGCCAGAAATGATAGCAACAGAGACATGCAAGCAAAACCTTCAACAGATTTATTTTACATCAAGTGGAACATATCATAAATAATTAGACTATCTGCTATAGCTTTTAAACAGACAGATATTCTGACTGGTCCTATCTAGACACAACAGTCTTATTACAAAAGCCCCACGAAGCGGGGCTTGGTTTCCCATGCCCATTATCCCAGCTACTTAGGAGGCTGAAGTGGGAGGTCTGCTTGAGCCCAGGAGTTTAAGACCAGCCTGGGCAACATAGTGAGACCCTGTCTCTAAAAGTAGTAATAAATTAAAGCTCCAGGAAGACCTCTGCATTGAATCTGATCTCTCCCTCCCCAGAATGAACACTAACAAAGAGTTGCTACTCATAGCATTTCAAACAGTTACTGGAATAAAGAAATGACTCATAATGTGTTCATTTTTGTTTAAAAATTTTTTTTAACAAAGGTAGAAATGTTTAGAGAAAAAAAAATCTTCCAAAGAGAGAAACAGAATTAACATTTTGGGAGAGAGGGAGAAAGAAATCATGCTATAAACAGCTTTCTCTGTCTTTTTAGAATTTCTTTCTTTCTTTTTAAACTCCTTCTAAGGTTTAAACTAATAACTATTTCTTGGGTATCAATTGCCTGTGATCAAGGAGTAATCATATGGTTACTAATATACTCTTGACAGCTTTAGGCCATGCAGTTCTGAGCAGCTGGAAGATAAAGTTCTTGATCACAGCTTCTAATACTCATAAATCTCATTAACAGTGTGGGACCCCACTGGAGTTCCCACTCTCATTTTGACCAAGATGATTTACTCAGCTTGCCCACAGTGCTGCTTCTTGACATTCTGAAGCCTTGGGGAATTCCTCCACACCCTCTGACCTCCTGTAACTGTGCACTGTGGCTCGGTGCATTTCTATTTAGCCCTCCTCTCGCTGTCTTATATTTAACTAGTGTTCCCACTGGATTGCAGGAGTTTTGAAGGCAGAGCAGGATTTCATCTTTCTCCTCTTTTATTTTTTTTTTTTAATACTCCATTGTGGTTTCCCAGAGCCTAAAAAGAACTTGAAATACCTGTTGGCATTGTACTGAATATTCTCAACCTTTCTCCTCCTATTATATCTACCCAGATATGACCACAACAATAAAATTGGAGCAAGGTAGAGAAAAGTCAGTAGATGCTTATAATGAAAGCATAGAAAACAAATCAGATTAAAGCACTATTAATAGCAGACATGAATCATGGGCTAGCCTATTACTCATGACAATAATAGTAACGTATAACTGTGAACATGTGTTATACACTAAGCACTTCCTATACATTCCTTCACTTATCCTCACCTTTGTGGCAGATGTTCCATTATCCCCACTTTACACATGAAGAAACTGATGCCAGGAGAGATCAGGTAATTTCTCCAAAGTCACCTGTCAGAAAGGAAGGAACTGGGACTCTAATTTTGCTTTCTCTGACTTCACACCATCCCATTTTTCCAGAATCAAGAGAATGTGAGCATTCAGGAATATTTTCACATTTTAAACTTTATTCAAAACCCAGCACATAAGGTATATCTTAGCACTAATTCTTTGCAATCACCAAACTTCCCTAAACACCAGCAGTAGTAGTAATTTTTTAGAGTCACTGTAAGCCCCTTAACTGCCTTCTGAATCAACAAGGAAGATTAAATTATATTTTCTAGACTTTGCATTAGTATATTTCATTACTTTCCAAGTTTTTGAAAATTAATTATCTGAGTAGAGTGAATTCAGTTTGTCTAAACCACTATGGGCTTAAAGACTCTGTTATCTCAGAATTCTTCATCTTAGAATTCTACCTGTTACATTATACAATTAAACAAAATAGTTTTTTCTCATGCATTATAACAATCAGCTCCTTAACTGAAAAAAGATGACCTTTTGAAAGCTTAGAAGAGAATTTACAATGAATACATCCCTTGCCAGTTCTTAGGGCTGGGATACTTTATCTATGAATATACTGCGGTCCCTCAGTGAAAGTTGTCACCAAATTTTTCAATGAAACTAAGAAAACATTTGAAGTGGAATGCATATTTCTGCTCACAGAATGCTAGATGCAGAACAACTAGTTCACTGCAGACAACTGTTTGCTTTAAAATGTAAGCAACATGCCCAGTTCAGGGCTAAAGTGACCAGCATGCCAACTTTATCACTTTATCAGAATGGCACAGCAGTCCAACAATTCAGCCTCGAGAGAATAGAGATGGAGAACAAAGAAGAGAAGTGAAAAAAACAAACCAGCCTTTCTGTTCTACATGACCTTCTTTCCCGTTTTGCCAATCTGATTTCACACATAGTGACTCATGGTAAAACAGAGAAAACATGGGAATTGCATTCAGATGTGTAGAGGTTAGTAAGAGGTAGTTTTCAAAAGCAGCTTGTTATCCAGTAACACTAGAGTCGCCTTCCATTTCATTTCACTTAGAGTGGCATCTGCAAAGCTGCCAAAATTTTTCTCTAAGTCAGAGAACACACTCCTAAGTTAAACCTTTAAAAAAGGTATTTCAAAGGAGGCAGCTGGTGTTCAGACTACCAAGGAAGACACTGCCACCTCGCTTCAGAAAGGGGATTTCCGCTCTTTGCTTTCTGTCATTTCATCTCTATTCTGCACTCAGTCCCTTGTCCTGTCTCGAGGTCCCTGTTTTCCTATACCTAACCACTTACACAGCCAATCTAGAAGTAAAGAGGAGCAAACACGCCCGCCCGCTCCCAATGTCCTTTGCTCCGCTGCCTACCAACCGCAAAGCCGATCGAGACGAAGCGGGGGTAGCCTCGTTGACTCTGCTCAGCTGATCGGTTGCCGCCGCCGCCGCCGCCAGATTCCAGAGGCGAAGAACGCAAAGCTAGGAACATGGACGTTAATATCGCCCCACTCCGCGCCTGGGACGATTTCTTCCCGGGCTCCGATCGCTTTGCCCGGCCGGACTTCAGGGACATTTCCAAATGGAACAACCGCGTGGTGAGCAACCTGCTCTATTACCAGACCAACTACCTGGTGGTGGCTGCCATGATGATTTCCGTCGTGGGGTAAGTGGGGTCTCCCCACCCGGGACACCGATCCGGGGCGCGCACAGAGGGGCCTCAGGGTGCAAGATCCCGGGATGTAGAAACGCTCTCTGACCACGCTCGGCGCCTGCCCTGACAATTCTACAAGCCGCCAAGCCAGTGGAAACTTGTTCGCAGGGCGAGGCCTCAGTAACCTGGGGTCCCCTTTTCTGCGCCAAGGGCTGAGACTTGAGGGGGCCCCATAGGGAAAAGAGGACGGGGAGGGAGGAAATTTGCCAACCGCAAGGAAGAAAAAGGAGGGGTTTTTTGTTTTGTTTTGTCACCCTGTACCAGGATCGGGCTCTTGCTGGGGAGATATTTGTAGCGCCCTCGTCTTTTAAAAATAAGAAGAAAGTGGAAAGTGGCGTAACGCTACCCTGGGGCTAGCTAGGGCAGCAGGGTGTGGACCCGGGGTAGTGCAGAAAGGGCAACCAAGGAGCTACGCACTTTGTTGGTTTCTCTGCCTAATGCCTGCCACACTGTACAGTAAAGCTGAGCTTGGGATCAAAAGGGTGGGTGTCTCCTGGTGGCGCATCTCCCATTGTAGGGTGAAGGCTGCCATGACTCTGGGAACGTGGCCCTCTGGTATTTTCTTCCAGCAGTGGCCAGGCGTGGTCACTTTCTCTGTCTTCACTTCCTAGCCTGGGGTTTCAATGTATCAGACGGCCTTTTCAATATCCGATACCTACAAAATATCCTGTGTTAAGATTGCACATACACCTGCTTTCCTAGAAACCACCTTTCCTTGGAGTTCACCCTTTAAGAAATCCTTCTCTTGCTTATGCAGGATGGATGGTGATATTGTCAATCTTGCTGATCATCTCCTACACATCTTTAAAGAAAAAGCCACCCTCAGACTTTATAAAGGACTCACTTGCCCTTAAATGTCTGACATTTTGATTTCAGGGCAGACATAGAGGGAAGAAGGAGCAAGCTGGCTTGGGAGAAAAGGGAGAAATTCACACCTGAAGGGCGTGGGAAAGGGTGAACAGGGTGGCTTCTTCAGTCCGCTTGCTGCTGGTTGGCTTATACATTGAGCCACCTCTCTGTGCCTGGCCCCGTGCCAAGCTCCAAGCAGACCAGGATGAATCAGACTTGAATTCTGGCCCAGGGGCCCCTGGCAGTTGTTGAGAAGCTAAAGGAGCAAACACACAGCACAGAGGAGAGGGGGAGACTTCAGAGTTTCCGAGTATGGTTCACAGCAGTCACCCCCATGCAGAGGTGGAAGCCCACATGTGGGACTCTATAGAAAATCGCACAGATCCTTCTTCCGCATTGCTTAAGGAATTGCACCCGGAATGGCTTGGTGTATAGAGGGCACAGGATCTGAGTGAACTAGTGTGGCAGCCAACGTACAAATTAGTCAGGGCAGGGCGGGACAGATCTGGGGCCGGAGGCAGCTGCTTCAGCTCTGTGCTTCAGGCTGCTTTCCTGGAACACTAAAAAATTTCTTTTCTCTTTTTAATTTTTTTGAGACTGAGCCTCCTTCTGTTGCCCAGGCTGGAGTGCAGTGGTGCCATCACACCTCACTGCAACCTCAACCTCCTGGGCTCAAGCAATCTATCTACCTCAGCCTCCCAAGTAGCTGGGACCACAAGTGCACGACATCACACCTAGCTATTTTTTTTTTTTTTTTAAGAGATGTAGGTCTCACTATGTTGCCTAGGCTGGTCTTGACTCCTGGGCTCAAGCCATTCTCTCACCTTGGCCCCCCCAAAGCACTGAGATTACAGGCAGGGGCCACCGAGCCTGGTCAAAAATGTCTTTAAAACAAAATAAGTAGTAAATAGGTTTGCATGAGTTATTTGGTTTTTGTTTCTTTTCTTTCTCTTTGCAAAGAAGTAGACAGGCATCTTATCTAGTGATCTAGTTATGGAGGTATATTCTTGAGGTTAACTTCAAAAACTTAGATGTGGGGCAAAGTTTGACACAGACCAATTAAAAAAAAAAGTTTATTTTTTTCAGAGATGTGTGCTGCCCAGACCAGGCACAAGCTCAGGCAGCCTTGCTGCCTTTGATGGAATCCATTTTTCACTGTGAAGGCCAAGGGCCAGCCAGCCCTTTGACTAAATATAGCTCCGTCAGTATTGTGCCATAGGCCACTAACTCAGGTAGTTTAAGGGTGTTGGCCCTCCTCATTTTCCTTTCAAATAAGACTTGTTGGTTGTCAATGAAATTTTTGAAGGGAAAAAGTGAAAAGTAGCCATGAAGTTTTTAAAACTTACCCCGATTTTTAAAAACGTAGGAAAGATATAGGCTAGTAATAAAGGTTGATTTGAAAATTATGTGGATAAAATGTGAAATTTCCTTCATACTTCAGTAAAAGTTTGGCATATAACCTTCAACTGTTTTCTATGCAAGTATAAACACAGTCAGTGGTTTTTTTCTATAAATTGCTCTCCTTTCTTTCTTTATAATATAAATAAAGAGGTATTGAGTGCTCTGTGTGTCAGGTACTTTGCAAAGTATTTTACCTGCATTATGTCATCGAATCCAATTTTAAAAACCCTGTTATTATTTTTATCATTAAACCTGAGGCTCAGAGAGGTTAAATTATTTACCCAAAGTCCCAAACTTAGGCTTGTGCTCTTAACTACTATTCCATCTTCCTATGAGTCATGAGGAAGAAACCAAACATCTTCTGGGTTAGGGAGCTTCATTGATTCTGGAACACTTCTCATTCTAAAAAGAACTATCCTCTTTCGGTGATGCTAGTAGATGGGTAGGTCAAAGCAGTGCTGGAAGCTGTTCATGTGGACCCTCCATGGGCTTCTCTCAGAGTTTCTCAGGATGTCTTGGTAGAGTGTATGGGAAAATTGACCTGGAAAAAAGGGTGTTCAACAATAGTTCCATCCCCTGCTGGTGAGAAGGGCCTCAAGGGTATTGTTGGAGGGCTCTAGTCTCAGCTCTCCAATGTTGAAAACTGGCTTAGGTAAGGGTAGAGAGGCCTGCTCTTCAAGATTTCAGAAAGGGAAACGGAAGAACATAGAAAATATTGTCTAGATCCAAAAACACTGGAAAGAACTGCCCATACCAAGATGGAGATTAAGAGGGATTAGGATAGAGATAAATCTGTGTTTGAACTTCTGATCGGAAGAGACTGAATTATTTACAAAGAATAGCATGAACAGCAGGCTAGAAAACTTGTGTTTTACTGGAAATGTGTTTGGATCCTTTACATCAAGAAGGAAAAATGTCTAAGATTGAAGTTGTGGTGGCTTACCTTCTGCATCCTTGATGTGAGACGTTTTGGCATTAAGATACTCTTTTTACATCACACACAATAGAAGTCTCCACCTTGATCTTCAAAGACAAAAGCAAAGGCAGTAACTTGCAATTTAAGTACTAAGTATGTGATACATTCTAGTTATGGATGAGAATTTCTATGTCCTTAATGGAATGCCAAACGATTTGAGCTGGAGAACTCTACTCAGTGTGTGAGCTATGGAACAGCAGCATCTTTTGCCTGAGAGCTTGTCGGAAGTGAAGCAACTTAGGCCCCATTTCAGACCTACTGGGTTAGAATCTACATTTTAACAAGAGTTTCAGATGATTCATAGGTACATTAAAATCTGAGAGGCACTGGATTGGTCTGGCTCCACAGAAACACTGACAAAATTTAAATAAATATACTATATGCCCAGGTGTCACTTTCAGTGATTCAAAATGTATAGTTCTTGGGAGGGTCCAGGCATCTGGTTTTTTTCTTTTTTTCTAACTTCCTAAGTGATTGTGATATACACCCCAGGGAGAAACACTGATTCTATCGAACCCCCTAACTCTCTGAAATATAAAACCTTGAGGTCACAGCCTAATTGGAACTAAAGCTACTAATACTAGGAAGTGAAATATTTTTTTCATTAAGCCATATTGCAAATTTTCTAAAGCTCTTGATTAGCCAAATTCAACTGCATACACCTGACTCTTAGAACATTTGTAATACTATTGCTGTCTTATTCTAAAAAGTTCTTTTCCTGGTTGGGTGTGGTGGCTCATACCTGTAATCCCAACACTTTGGGATGCAAAGATGGAGGATTGCTTAAGAGCAGGGATTTAAGACTGACCTGGGTAACATAGTGAAACCCTGTCTGAAAAAAAAAATTATTTTCTGCCATTAGAACTCATATTTTCTGGTGTGCCCTCAGAAACACCAACCACACACAGAATTGGCAACATATAAAAATGCCTCTGCTGCTTCTCCAGCACGAGAGGTTGCATTTATTCTCATGCACATACATTTGTGCCTCTCCCTTAGACAGAACCACGTAGCTGCTAAAGGAATGAGCCCATGTTTTCTCAGCTAAAGTAGCTCCTCACCATGTGGCCTGATTGTTTGGCCTGTGGATGTGTTGCAGGAGGGTGGAACTGACAGCTGCCACTTTATGCCTTCAGTTACTCAAGATGGCAAGGAGTTTCTGGAAGGCTGGTAATTCTGTTTGAAAAGAGCATTAGTGTAGTCTTTTCCAAATGAGTGTGGCTTGGTGGCTCCCCGCATCTGGTATTATGAAATGTTCGTATTGTTTGTACCTTTAAATGCTACAAGGATGATGAACCAAGTTTCCAGTTGGTAGAGAAAAAAAGAGTAAAGCAGCTGTGGGATGCTCTGGATCAGAATGTATTAAAATGATTGCAGACAGAATGAATTGCGCAGTCTGTTTATACTGAAGCCTGTGGAAATGCTTTGGAGATTAGTCAGCTTCAACACCAGTTCTACAGCATTACTCTTATTTGTGTTGCTTCACTCATTCAATCAATAAAGAATATGAATCCCTTACCAACTTCTCAGACACTGCTAGGAGACAGTGAAGAACAGGACAGCTGTGATTCCTGCCATCGTGGAAAGGAAGCAAGACCACATTGAACACCTTAGAATTAATCTGTATACAAGTACAACAAGCGTACAGAAATACACCTACATAAACACATCCTTCTTAACCTGACTTACCCTATCTCCCCTGTACATTGTGGTTCCAAATTCCAAA